CGACCAGCACAATGGCAAGGATCACGACCTCGGCAGCCATCACGTCGGGCCACGACGTCTCAATGGGGCCCTCGGGGGATACACTCCAATCCCGCACGATCCACGGATCCCTGACGATATGGAGCCGGCTGGCGATGGCCTTCATGGCGTCCTCGAACTTCCCTTGCACATCGATGCCTGGCAGCACGCAAGTAGATATGATAGGTGGGTTGCCTGAACGCAAGTGCCAAACCAGTGGCGCAAATCATCTGGAAGGATCTCGATTGTCCAACCATATGAGCTCTTTCTGCGCAGCGGAGAGCGCCATGGCGGCAATGCGGGATCTCGCCAAAACTCCCCGGCCCAAAAACCCAAAGTCTACCGACAGGCCACCGTCGCAGCCATCTTCCATCCATCTGCGCGCAGCACTTCTTTCTCGAACGGGATACGCGCAGCCTCCGCGTGGAAAGATACCTTCTGCAGCAGCCCATCGCTTGGCCTTGGCCTCCTCGACGGCGGCGGGCTTGCCATCGGCTGCGCACCTGGCTGCTTCCAGGGAAGCCTTCGCGGCGTTGTCGGTCGCTGCCTTGCGCTGTGCAACTGCGAGATTGCCCCCACCACCCTCGGGCGACGCCGAGCCTGAAGAGGTGACCGCTGTAGCTGAACCTCCCAATTCTGAATTTCTTCCGCCGTACCAGCAAGGACTTGCTTCTCGCCCTTGAAATGTTCATGTCTCATCTCGCGAATGTCCTGAAGCAGCTTCTCGAACCGCGTCTGGCCCTCCAGCAGCTCCTGCTTGTGGCGCCCGATGTACGCATTCCACTTTAGGAAGGACTCCTCCGCGGTGTCTTCGTAGTCGTCGAGGTCATCCAAGAGGGACTCCTATTAAAATTAAAAACAAACAACAACAACAACAACAACAACAACAACAACAACAACAACAACAACAACAACAACAACAACAACAACAACAACAACAACAATTACTAGCACGTGGGGACACACCGTTCTCACCAGTGCCAGGGTTTTCATAGGAGGCGGGCAATACCCCCACTTTGTGGGGGGGCCGGTTCAAGCTCTACCAAATTTCCAAACGACTCTTCGCCACCACCCACACCCAGCTTCCCGCCCTATGACGTTCGGACACTTCACTTCGTGGCATGCGGACGACCGTGGCTACTATTCAGGGCCCCGCGGCCGACGACGACGGCGTGCGCGCGCGAAGAAAAAACGAATGTGTCCCGCATGGTATTATTTGACAGGGATGATGGCCCTGGCAGGTGCGCAACCGTTGTCGCAGAAGTTCGAAAAAGTTGCTCGCAAAAGCCCGTTTGACAGAAATGTTTAAAAAGTGTTGGGTTTCCTACGAATCCGCAAGAGCGCGCGGGATGAGATTTTGACATTTTTTTGTTGAAAAACCATTGGTTTTTTGATGTTTTTATGTTAAAATCGCTCCGAACACTAAGGTTTTGGAAGGATTTCGTCTTGCGCGCGCGAATGTCCACTTTACCTTATTTTTTGCAAGGGATTCTTGAAATTTGATTATATTAGAACAAGAAATGTCATTTTCTATTGTTTTTTGCAAGGGAAAGCGGATTACAACAAAACAACCGGATCCTGTACACACCCTCTTTTCTGAGGCTTCCTCACGAAAATGATGAAAATGTAGCTGCGGCCTAGGCGGCGCAGGGGGGGCGCGCACCAGGGGGCCCAACAATAATTATTCTTTAGAATAAATAATGTTCAACAACAACAACAACAACAACAACAACAACAACAACAACAACAACAACAACAACAACAACAACAACAACAACAACAACCATTTTAAGGCTGTACGCTCTTACTTGCCCGCGAGTCATTCAACACGTATACCCTACACCCTCGATACCCGCCCTCTTCGTCTTCGATCACACCCCTTTCGGGGGGATTATTTCTCTTTGCTGGGGCCGGCGGGCTTAGACGTACGGGCAAACCGGAACGGGCGGACAATCCTTCGGGGGCGTACATCTCTCTGCCCGCCATTGGAATTGGCGCGGGCCCTGCAAGAGGAGGAGGGGAAGAACGAGGGAGAGTGGGAGGAAGGGGAGGGGGAAGGACGAAGGAAGAGGGAAGATACCACGTTGTGAAGGCGTCCTTGGCGCGTGCGTGGTTCCTGAGCGCCGAAACGCAATTCCAGAATAATTTGTGAGGACGTCGCACGCGAGAGCGCAGTCCTGAGTACATTGTGAGGAAATCTCAGGCGGAAGCGCGGGCCCTGAGGAGCGCCGTTCCTGAGCAAATTGCACGGAAGTCTCAGGCGGGAGCGGGGGTCCTCACTAAATTGCGAGGAAGTCTCAGGCGGGAGCGCCGTTCCTGAGTCAATTGCGAGGAAATGTCAGGCAGGAGCGGGGGTCCTGAGTAAAATTCGAAGAAGTCTCAGGCGGGAGCGCCGTTCCCACGTAAATTGCACGGAAGTCTCAGGCGGGAGCGGGGGTCTTGATTACATTGCGAGGAAGTCTCAGACGGGAGCGCCTTTCCTGAGTAAATTGCGCGGAAGTCTCAGGCGGGAGCGGGGGTCCTGAGTAAAAATCGAGAAGTCTCAGGCGGGAGCCGTTGTTGTTGTAGCCCGGGGGGCAGGGGCACAGTTTGAGCAGGAAAACTTTCCTTGAGAAAAAACAAGGTGCGAGCCCCGGGGGTGGCACTTCAATCGAAAAAAATCAATGTGCACCGGTGTGGGGGGATCAACAATAATTATTCTTCAAGAATGAGAGTTCAACAAAAAACGACCGCCAGCAGCGTCGGCCTCCTGCAGGGCCTGATTGGTGCTCGACTTGAGTTTCGTGTGTTCCTCTGTGGAGGTGATCCCCTCCTGCTCCGCGAGAAAGAATATACCTCCTGCTTCGCACGTTCCTCCCTGCAGTTGTCGAGGTGTTTCTGGGCCTCCAGCAGCGTGGTGGCGAGGCGACTGGAAACTCTTCGTTTGGGTACATGCTTCGGCGTCAGCGCGCAACGTGCGCTGTTTCGCCATCGTAAGAGTTTTGTGCCTGCCGTGCAAGTTTGTTTTGCTTTGCGTTCTCGATGTCCTCCTGTAGTGCACGGGCGGCTGCCGAATCGCGGAGCCCTGATGGTAGCTGATCGAGAATGGCGAGGGACCGACGACCTTGGAGCTCTGTTAGTTTTTCCACGGTGAAGACGAACTCTGTTTCACAGCATCTTCTTCGCCACGGCCTCTGTTGAAGCCGCCTGCCCCGAAGATGTCGAATGGTTTCCTGCCGAACACGCACTGGCAAGTGTTCTCGATGATACGCCACTTGTAGCTCCATTGACCACAGGAGCAACAATCAAATGTCCGCCCATACTTTTTGCTGAGCATGGTACCCTCTGGAAACAAGCACGAGGCGACGTCGCTGGAGTGACAAGCTCGGGCTCTGCCAGGGGCGGACCTGGCGAATGGTTGACACGTTGACACTGACCGCGGATTAGCGGTACCCACTGGGTTCGCAAGGAAACGTCAAAACATGAGCCAAAATGGCAAGTGAAGCGGGGAGAAAGGAAATGACGAGGTGAAAAGAAGGAAAGGGATGACAACGACTGAAGAGGAGAAAGAGGGCCATGAGGGGGAGGAAAGAGAAAGGATGAGGGGAAAGGAATCCCGAGGCGATTTTAGCGAGGATTTCAAAGATTTCGGAGCAACAAGCGAAGACGGAGACAGGACGGACCAAGAACGAGGAATGAAAGGAGGGAGGAGGGGAATAAACAAAAAAAACAGGGGAGGGAAGAAGAGAAGAGAGCAAGGGGGAGGGTGTCGATGGAAAGGAAGAAGTGGGAGAGTGGCAGCAGCGGCACGAAGAGGAGGACGAGAAGGCCGAGACGGCGACCATGACGACGGTGGAAGCGGGGAGGACGAGGAGGGAGCAGAAGGAGGCAGGAGGGAGGAAGAGGCGAGCGGGGGGCGGACAGACGGGGGGCTCAGGATACACCCAGCACATATCACCGGTGCTGACGCACACCCTCCCGCCCCAACTTCCCCACCTGCGCAGTGGCCTAGGCAGGCCGCCGGCGCGGAACGCGAATCACTTTGGCAGCGAGGGCGCCCGCGCGCAGCTTCACGCGGGCGGCTTGCGCGCGGATGTCCGCACGGTCCACCCCGCTTTCCTCCGTCGCTCCGCTCTCTTCCCGTCGCAGCGGCGGCAGAGGCAGTCCGCACGCGCGTCCAGGGCAACCCGGGCTACGGTACCGTCGGGGCGTTGACCTAAGGAACCCTAAATAAGGAACGAGGCCCCTATTTTCCATGAGTTAAACTTCGATGTCCCATCGAAAACCTAAGGAAAACCTAAGGCAAGCTGCGAAACACTTCAGGAACGCGGAGCCCCTCCCCAACGGAAAGGGTTCCTTCTTCAGGGCCCCGACTGTATTGCGAATGGTCCCGCGCGCAGGAGGGGAGGAGACGAGGGGCGGCCGCCGTCGCACGCGCGCGGGAGCGCGCGGCGGCGCGCGCCAGCCAGCAAGTGGTTCGAGCTGCTCGTCGAATCCAAGGCCCACGCGTGGGATGTTCGCAGCAGCGTGCACATCCTGCGCATGGCGCATGGATTCGGCGAGGGAAGCAAGTTTGGGGCAGATCAACTCTGTAGTCGATCCCCTACTCGAGGGATTCGAGGAGGGAAGGGACGGGCTCGTAGGAACGAGTCGGCCCGGCTGGGGGGCGCTCCGGCCAGGATGGGACCCCAGCCGAGCGGCGAGGAGGGCGAGGCAGAGCCGGAGGAGTGGGCGGCGGGGCGAGAGGATGGCGCGGGGGGGAGGAGGCAGAGGGCGAGGAGAGGGGGGCGACGGAGAGGGAAGGGGCCAGAGGGGAGAGACAGCGGGGGGGGGGGGCGGGGAGCGCAGAGGCCTGTGAGACGAAGACGCCGACGCCGGCCTTGTCGGCCGTCCGCCGCCGCCGCCATCTGTCCCCCGCCTCCGTCGTCCGTCGTCGTCCGTCGTCGTCGAGGTTCTGGCGAAACAAAAGAGCACCGACACCGCCTCTCCCCCGACCCCTCAAGGAGTGCGTCCTGACCAGAATCTCGAGGAGAGTCCAGCCGCGGCGACGAGGACTCTCGAGGACAAGCGGCGGCTCTCCGAGGGTCGGCGTCCCCGTCGTCCACCCCCGAGCATCCGCCGATACGAATCTTGCTGTGCGCGGCCGCAGGGGCCCCGTCCCCTTCCCCTGGTCAACTGTTCGCCCCGGATGCGTTTTTGAGGACCCGGGGCTTCACTGATGGGCCCTGGAAGCGGACACCGAGGGAAAGACGCCCAGAGTGAAAAACCATGCCGTCGAAGGTCTGGGTCGTCGTCAGCCGCCGCCGCGAGAGGGGCGGCCGCAAGCGGGCGGGGCAGGGCGGGGCGGGAGGCGCGCCGAGGTGGTCGGCGCCGCTGCGCTCGGCATCATCATGTTCCTGCGGGCCGGCCGGAGGGCGCCAACGGACTGTACGCGTGCTCCGATCCTGGCCAGGCATGCCTTGGCACGAGTGGCGCGGCCTCGGGCTGCGCACAGACAGCCCCTCCCCCCCCCCCGCGCAGGTAGTCTCGCTTGAGGCCAGGGGGAGGAGGAGGAGGAGGAGGAGGAGGTGGAGGAGGAACCCTGGCACCGCCTCTGGCGGCTCCCCTGGGGCATTCCGCGCCCCAGGGCTGGGGTACGTTGAGACCGCCCCAGACTTCTCGGGGGGCCTGCTGCGGCCAGCTGGGACTGCTCAGAGCCCGACGAGGCCGACTGGGACTGCCTGGGGGGAGGCCGTGTGCGCGCAACCCGAAGCCTCACCAGGCGCAAGATCGGCGCACGTACAGTCGACCCGTATCGTGAGGACGCACGAGGATGCAAGGCCCTTCGACGCCCATCTCGAAGCCTCTCGAGCGGGGCGCGGCCAACGCAAGTGGCCCAGGATGGGCCGCGGAGGGAAGGACGCAAGGTTACCCTTGGGAAGGTGGCTCATCCTTCCTACGTGGGCTGACTGTACACCCCTTTGTGTCTGGCCACGCAGGCGTGTACACCAAACCTGGGCCCAGGATCGACCTTGCCAGAGTACCGGTGCAGGTGTAGATAGAGGTAGTGTCTTCTGAGGTGGGGCAGCCGTGGGGAGCTGTGTCCCGCGGGTGGGGCGGGGCGGGCAGCTTCCTCACTCGAGCCCAGGGGTGGGTCCGAGCCCAGGCATGCTCGCGTCCTGAGAGAAGCACGACGGGGGGGGGGGGCCGTTACAAGGCGGCTCCCGATAAGGGAAAGGCCCTGGGGAAGGGCCTCCTGCACGGCCCTGACGCCCCTCTTGGCCCGTGCGCAAGACGAAGGCGGGATGGAGGTCAGTTCAGATCGAGATGCATAGGGAATCTCTGAGAGCTGGCGCGTCTGGAGGATACATCGGGCGCCGCGGCCGCTTCGGAACGCTCTGGAAGCTCTGAGAGCGTTCCAGAACGCTCTGGGGCGATTTATCTTCATCCTAACCCACAGAGCCAGAAGCATTTCGATCTGTCCTGACAGGTACCACATAAGCCTTCCAGGTGCTCCTGGAAGGTCGCTACATGTCCGTACACTCTCTGGAAGGTCTTGAAGAGGCCTGCCAGAGTCTGGCAGGGTCCCGAAGTAAAGAGCCAAAAGCAGCACAAGCAAAGCTTTCGGCGGTCCGCGCGGGTTTCTTGGATCTGCGCTAACCCCCCTCCCTGGCGCGCGGAGCGCGCCACGTGCGGCGCCGGAGGCGCCGCCAGGAGGCTCCAGCGCCGATCTGATAAATCCGCGCGGACCTCTGAGCTTTCATGCTCATGCCATGGTTTCTTCCCCGAGACGTAGCCTCGGATCGGTCGGATCGGAGCGGGCCCTGGAGAGCAGAGCTCCCGATGCTGAGCAGGTGCTCTTGACCCCCGCACGCATGATTTTTCTCCGGAAATCTCGACCCACGCCCCGGGACCCGTCTGTCATCCCGAGGCGGCTCTGGACGGTCCCGGGGCCCGGCTGGGGCCCAGTGGCTTGAAAATTACCAAAAACCTGCCGTCTGGTCTTTTCATGACCCGAGGGGGTCTGGGAGGAGGAGGAGGAGGAGGAGGAGGAGGAGGAGGAGGAAAAGAGGAGGAGGAGGAGGAGGAGAGGAGGAGGAGGAGAAAGAAAGAGGAGAAGGAGGAGGAGGAGAAGAAAGAGGAGAAGGAGGAGGAGGAGAGAGGAGGAGGAGAGGAGAGCAGGAGGAGGAGGAGGAGGAGGAAAGGAGGAGGAGGAGGAGGAGGCAGGAGGAGGAGGAGAGGAGGAGGAGGAGGAGCAGGAGGAGGAGCAGGAGGAGGAGGAGAGGAGGAGGAGGAGGAGGAGGAGGAGGAGGAGCAGGAGGAGGAGGAGGAGAGCAGGGAGGAGGAGGAGGAGGGAGGGAGGAGGAGGAGGAGAGGGGAGGAGGAGAGGAGGAGGAGGAGGAGGAGGAGAGGAGGAGGAGGAGGAGGAGAAGGGTCTGGGAACCATGCGCGCGAGCTCCTGATGCTAGACAGGTGCTCCAGGTAGGCGATGCCAGCCTCGTCGCCGCCCGCCCTCGTGAGCGCCTCCGGCGGCGCCACGGTCGCGCGGCGCGGGGCGCTCTGCCGTCGCGGCCCCCTGCATCCTGCATCGCCACGGCCCGGCTGCCCCCCAAGACGCCGGGGGGAGAGGGAGTGGGGCGGAGGGAGGAGGGAGGAGGGAGGAGGGAGGAGGGAGGAGGGAGGAGGAAGGAGGGAGGCGGGAGGAGGAGGAGGAGGAGGAGGAGGAGGCGGGAGGAGGAGGAGGGAGCAGGGGGAGCAGGAGAAAGAGGAGGAGGAAGAGGAAGAGGAGAGGAGGAGCAAGAGGAGGCAGGAGGGAGAAGGGAGGAGGGAGGAGGGAGGAAGCGGAGGAGGAAGAGGAGCAGACGATGACGACGACGACGACGACGACGACGACGACGAAGACGACGACGACGAAGACGAAGTCTCTAGGGGGGAGAGGGGGAAGGGGCGAGGGGGATAACGGGAGGGGAGGGGAAGGGAGGGGGGCATGAGGAGGAGGGGAGGGAGGAGGAGGAGGAGGAGGACGAGGAGGAGGTCGAGGAAGAGGGAGAAGAGAGGAGGGAGGAGGAAGAAGGGGAAAGGGAGGAGGGGAAGACCCAAGACGGGGAGAATGGAAGGAAAAAGAAGACGAGAGAGGAGGAGATATAAGAAGGAACGACGAGAGGAGGAGATCCGCCGGCCCCCTTGTGGGGCCACCAGGCTGTAGGCGCGAGGTTCGCAGTTTCCTGTACCAGTTGTAGCTTGTAGTTTCCAGTGTTACAGTTCTGCTTCTTGCTGGTTACTGTAACTAGTTGATTGACCGCGCGAGGGGGGGGGAGGCCCAAACCAGATTTTTAGCGTCTCCTGGGCGCGTTGTCTGAATTGCTGGGGGGGCTCGAAATCGACACCCCTCACGCAGATCCGCGGGGTCAGGGTCCAAAAACACAGGGATTTGCCACATTTCTGAAATTCGGTGCCACCCCTCACGCAGATCCGCGGGGTCAGGGTCCAAAAACACAAGGGATTTGCCACATTTCTGAAATTCGGTGCCACCCCTCACGCAGATCCGCGGGGTCAGGGTCCAAAAACACAGGGGATTTGCCACATTTCTGAAATTCGGTGCCACCCCTCACGCAGATCCGCGGGGTCAGGGTCCAAAAACACAGGGGATTTGCCACATTTCTGAAATTCGGTGCCACCCCTCACGCAGATCCGCGGGGTCAGGGTCCAAAAACACAGGGGATTTGCCACATTTCTGAAATTCGGTGCCACCCTTCACGCACATCCATCGCAAGGCGTGGTAACCCAAACTGCGAGAACTCCCTCGGCCCTTTAATCGCAAGGTGTGGTAACCAAGCCCGTAAACCATACACGTCTTACCAATCGCCAGGTGTGGTAACCCCTCTTGTGATCAGTTGGTTTTGCTGATTGCGAATCGGCTTCGCATGAAGTTTCGATACTGCTTCACGACAGCGCCAAGGCCTCATGACTTAGCTCTTCCATGGCCCATTCTCCGAAAGAGGGGGCCGGCGGCAGGGGGCGAAGCCCTTACGGATAAAAAGAGGACGAGAGAGGAGGAGAGAGGGGGATCGCTCCTCCTCCCCAGGTGGAGGAGGAGGAAAGAGTAAGGGCGGAGAGGAAGGGTTCGGGGGGGTCCTCGGGGTTCTCAGAAGCGCTTGAAGGACTCTCGGGGCTGTTTTCAAGGCCGACGAGAATGAGGACGACGACGACGACGACGACGACGACGAAGGCGGCGGTCCATCGATCGAGACTGGGAACCACCCCTACTCCCAGGTCGTCGAGAGCGCGCTGGGGAGACCGGCCCCGGAAACCGTGGTCGTCGTCGTCGTCCTCGTCCCCGTCGCCAGTCACGCACACACTCTCACACACACACACGCGCGCGCAAACACTTTAAGTCAGCGGCGCAGAGGGTCCCCGGGCGCGAGCAGCAGGTGGAAGTAACGCACACACACACATACACACACACGCACGCACGCACGCACTCACGCACGCACAGACACACACACACACAGACACACACACACACACACATACACGCACGCACGCACGCACGCACGCACGCACGCACGCACGCACGAACGCACGCACGCACGCACGCACACACACACACACACACACACACACACACACACACACACACACACACTTTTTTGCGTCGGCGGCTAGGCAGAGTGACTGCGCTGGCGGAGTGCATACAGGTGCGAATGAAGCCGCGATGCACGTGGGGAAGACGAGGAAGCCCGGCGCGGGCGGGAGGGAAGGGAGACTGGGCCCGCTCAGGGCGGGCCAGGCCGCGGCAGGGGGGGCGGGCGCCGGGGCGGCGGGGAAGCGGCGGCCGCAAGGCACCCGGGGGGGGGGGGGCAGCCAGGAGGCGGCCGAGCCGGGCGGCGGGGGTGGCAGGCCCGGCGAGGCCGGGGAAGGGGCGGCGCAGCGCGGCAGCTGTGTTGCCGAGGTCGGTGCGACCTCGAGGAGACTGGGCGGCAGCTGGAGACCACCTCACGCACGCACGCACACACACACGCCGCACACACACACACACACACACACACACGCATACACACACACACACACACACACACACGCGCGCGCACTTGCTACGATCGTGTGCTGACTTCGTGTGCCGCCGAGCTTCGTGGCGCCCGCAGGAAGTACTGGAGGCCGCCCACATGGGGCTGTAAAGTAGCGGGTGTCGCCGGATCGCGGCGCATCGCAAATTCATCGACGACGCGGCTCGGTCCTCCCACCCCGTCCACTCCGACCGCGCTGAGGCGGCCTGGAACTGCATGAGCAAATTCACAGCCCCGCATGAGACTGTCTATCACGACTGCTGGGTGAAGAGCGCAACGACCTGCCCCCCACCTAAGGCACCCCTGCTACCAGGTCCGCCAGGCGGGAGGGGATGAAGGACAGCTGGGTGGCTAGCATGACGTGACCTGGGTGTAACTGGACAGCGAAAGCGAGGATGAAGAGCTGGCCCTGACCTCTGATATGTATGCGAGTCGGAAGCCCCTAGGATCTCCAGAGGTCTCCAGAAACAGGCCTCCAGATACCCTTGGGGGTCGCCAGCGGCGGCCGTTTTCGGGGGGAACGTTTGAATGTCCGCCGGCTTCTGCCGCCCTTGCTTTTTGAGGGTGGGAATTCGCTCACACGAGTTGCGTGCTCGCAGGCATGCATCGGCCCATCGGTTCTTCGAGGGCCATATAATCAAGGAAGGAGAGGTGCGCGCGGAAAACCCGACAAACACCTCACTGTTCGCCGTCCTCCTCCTCGTCGAACTCGCCCTCCTCCTCCGCGGTGGCATCCTGGTACTGCTGGTACTCCGAGACAAGATCGTTCATGTTGCTCTCTGCCTCGGTGAACTCCATCTCGTCCATGCCTTCGCCGGTGTACCAGTGCAGGAACGCCTTGCGCCGGAACATCGCCGTGAAGTACTCTGCTACACGCTTAAACATTTCCTGAATGGCTGTTGAATTACCTGCGAAGGCAACTGCCATCTTCAAGCCTTTTGGGGGGATGTCGCACACGGAAGCCTTGATGTTGTTGGGGATCCACTCCACAAAATAAGAAGAGTTCTTGTTCTGCACATTCAGCATCTGTTCGTCCACCTCTTTGGTGGACATGCGACCGCGGAACAGGGCCGCTGCGGTCAGGTAGCGGCCATGGCGAGGGTCAGCTGCGCACATCATGTCCGCCACCGCGCCCCCTGGCACGTTGAGGCGTGGTCAAACGCCAAGTAGCCAAGCACTGTCCGGCTAGGTCTCTGTCATACTGTCGGGGATTTACTGACCCGGGTCAATCCAAACCTGGGTCAGTCAGGCCTCGCAAGATCCTGCAAGATCCTGCGGGGTCCTGCAGGATCTTGCACCCAAACCCAAGTCAGTGCACCCCTGGCCCGGCAGGATCCTGCAAGATCCGGCGCTCTGGCTGACCCCCGTTTGCATTGACCCCTGTGGATTGTACGGGTGACTGTACGGATACAGGGAGACACGAAGTACAATAGAGGGACCCGTGCTAGAAGAGAGCATGTCCTCTTTCCTTTTACGGAGGCGTGGGCGCGTCCGTCACCGGCGCGCCATGATAGCTCAAGGGCCCCTGTGGGCCGATATGGCGGCGCACACGGGAGTACAGAGAGAGGCGCAGGAGGAGAGGCTGACAGGGGCTCAGCGGCCCGACGCCTCCCTGGCGCTCTCCAGGGCGTCGAAGATGCCCGAGATGGCTTCCAGAGACAGTGCAGGCAGGCCGCCAGGATGGCCCAAGGTGCCTCCTGGACGGCCTGAGATGGCTCCGAGATGGCCTCGAGACGGCCCAGGAGGCCTCTAAGAGGACCAAGAGGGCTCTCGAGAAACTCCAGCAAGGCCAGAAGAGGCCAGAATCATTCAGTGTCCTGCGCTGTTTGAGAAGATTCCCGCGTTCTCGCCAGTTCGGGCTTCCGTCGGCTGAAGACGGCTCACGAGGCCTCCAAAAGGGCCCCCCGACGGCCCATTATGGCCTCAAGATAGCCCGAAGGCCTCGAAGACGGCCTCTGGACAGCCCAACAGGGCCCCTGGACAGCCCAGGACGGGGAGGACCTCAAGCTGGCCCCGAAAAGCCTCTGGAGGGACCAAAGGCAGCTAGGAGGACCCCTGGACGTCCCAACACGGCCCAACGACGGCCCCAAGAGACCACCCAGACGGCCACCAAGGCCGCAAGAGAGCCCCAGAACGGCCAAGAGGGCCCAAGACGGCCCAAGAGTGCACCGGGGACCCCCCCAGACTGCCCCGCACGAGCCCAGGCCAACGCAAATACGGCCCAACTGAGATCCATGAGGGCTCCTCGACAACAGAACACGACAGGTGTCACGTGTAACGACTCGCCTCTTCTTTATTATTGATGATATTGTACCTCTTACCATTATTACGATGATGCTTATCATTATTCTTATTAGTATGGTTATTACTACTACTACTACTACTACTACTACTACTACTACTACTACTACTACTACTACTTATTCTTCTTCTTCTTCTACTACTACTACTACTACT